TTGCCCCGTGGGGGGGGGGGGAGGAGTCCATTGCTACCCTGAAGTATCGTCAGCTGCAGCGGCCAGAATTACAGTAAATCTGTTGATTTGTCCTGTGTAGACACCAGCCCAATTCGCAGTAACTTATGAGCAAAAGCAGGAAGGGACCTACAATATAATTTCTACATTGTTGTGGAGCAGTAAGCTTTTTGTGTTATAGCATTTATATTTTTGAATGCAGGGTACACAACAATTGATAGAACTTACTGCAAAATGTCTGTGAAGGTTCTCATTTATCCCGGTCATGGTATATCTGTAAAAAATAAGTCAAGGCAACTGGACTCGCTGTATTTTTCTTGAAGGCATTTCACCCGTCTGATGTCCAGTGAAACGTCTTCAAGAAAAATACAGCAAGTCCAGTTGCCTTGACTTATTTTTTACAGATGTACTGCAAACGCTTTAATATCAAATCATTAGAGTGCAAAAACTCGATCTCCCATTTTGCAACCCATAGTGCCATGTTTTTGCCTCTGTAAAGTGCCAGTTTCTTGATTCGACAGATATGGGGACCCTTGGCATGGGTGGTTAGATAATATGGCCAAAACACAAACAATACAAAAGTAGATAGATGCCTTTAAAATATAAACAAGCTCAACTGTTTAACCACTCAAGGGACTTAAAGTAGTATTAAGGTCTGGGTGTTTTTTACCTTAATGCATTCTCTGCATGATGGCAAAAACTGCCCAGAACCATTTTCTCCCCCAGTCTCCCTCCGTCACCCCCCACACTTACCTGTCAGAGACGCTCGTCCCCGCCGTCAGTCCCGCAGTGATCCTCCGTTCCCTGTACTTCCCGGTTGCAGGGGGAGGATACTGATGGCAGAGAAGCCATATGCTCCTTCTGCCATCAATCAAAGTTTTGGTCAGAAAGAAGGGGCGTGGCCTGCCACAGGGCTGTGTGTGTCTATGGACGCACACAGCCACTGCGGGCACGGGTGCCTCCCTTAGAACGATGGTGGCACCCGTGCAGGGGGCGGAAGGAAGAGAGGTGCGGGACCCACTAGAAAACGAGGAATTTAAAACTTTTAAAGAAAAAAAGCAACATCCTCTGGCAAATGTGGGCGTCCTAATGGCAACTATTTTTTTTTTTTTTTAAAAGAAGGTTTAAGAACACTTTAAGGGGATTTAGGGAGTAAAAGCCCCAGGGGCTCAAATGGTTAATAAACAGTAAATAGAACCGGTAATACTAAGGTAGGTTACAAGCATTGTGCATCCACAATTGAATTCCAGGTTTTCTGTACTCTAATATGTTCCTGTTAGCATTCAAAGGGTTACCTGAGAGCTATCTGGGACTGAGGTAACCCATAAAAAGCATCATTTTTGTAATCTCCTAACTTAAAAACACGCATTTTCATTCCAGCGAGTGAGCCAATAAAGTGAAGTAAAACCATGCCACATCTAAAGACTGTACGAGTACATTGGTCATACATAGGATGCATCACAGAATCTCACATGAAAAGTGGCTTTGACGTGTGTGTGTACAGAAGCTCCGGCAGAGCCAAGGATATCGGGGGTCATCAGAGGATTGGAAGATAGTTGGCTGCCATCTTGAAGCCATTCGTTATACCTCAGTGTAGACATCTTAATTCTTTTATTAGGATCCACAGTGAGAAGCCCTGCACAGAACAAAGCAACATAGCAACATTGTATTGTCAGAAAATCGTAATTCACAACCAAGCGTTGACTACAGTGTCACATAATATGTGGACATTACTAAACTTCAGGCTCCATGCTCTTCCCACAAGTGACCCCCCGTACCAAACCCATCCAGGAGGCTCCCTAATGTGTTTGTTATCCTTTCCTTTTAATATACTTAAAAGGAGAACTATGGGGTTAAGGCTTTTCCCCATAGTTCTCCTTAGGGTAACGGGAGGACACAAACTAGCGTCCTCCCGTCACTCTATTAGATGTCTTCAGGCCAGTCACATGATACACTAGGTTCTCTTCCTCTCTCGACCTTCTCCAGCAGTGGATCAGAGATGAAGAGAGCAGTGCCGATGTAGTTATGATACGAATTATGCTGGGTGTCATTCAACCCATGAGAGAACTTGGACTGAGATCTCTGAGAGCATTGAGTCTGCAGGGGGGTTATAACAGGGAAAGCCTTTCCTTTTTTTTTAATAGAAAGTGCTGGGCATGTAGTTTCTATTAGCCTGGAGATGGGCTTTGAGGAAGCCTACCAAAGCCACAAGATAGCCTAAAGTATTTTATAACCCCATACCTGACCACATATTCCCATTTAATTACTGCTTGTTATTAACAATCATTACAATCTACTCTGCTCCAGATGCAATAATATAACGTTGTTACGATCTGGGGACCGGGGCACTAGGACACAAGAGGCTCCGGGTTTTGCGGAGCAATCTGAAGCAGGGAAAGGGACTAGGAAACTGAAGTAATACCTGGGATGCAGGTCAAAGGGAACCCAGGGACTAAGGTGACCGTGCGATTATAGGGAGTCCAGACACAGGGGACTAGGACAGGGTGACTGCACAATAACCGAGGGTTGTGCCTGAGGTGCAGAATCTAAGGAGGGCCTGGTCTTCCACAGAGCTTCCAATGGCGAGGATGATTGTGCGGCAGGACACCTTCCAGGTTGTGGCCCTCTGACACACCCATGCAGACATGACTGTCCCAATAGACTGGGGACAGCACTGGGGAACTGGACTCAGTGGCAGGTAGGGATGACTGATACCACACAGAGGCAGGGGCGTCCCGAGGCTGGGTGACACTCGGAGCGGTAACCGCGTGTCACCCCACCCGAGACGTCACTGCGCGTGCGCGATGACATCATCGCGCACGAGCGGCGGTATTCTGTTACCTGCCGGTGGCCATCTTGGTGATGGACGCCAGCAGAGAGAGGAGGGGACAGCCACCCGGCGGGATAAGGTATGCAGCCGGGTCCCCTACTCTCTCCTGATACTGTCGGGCGTTCGGTCCATGATCGAGCGCCCGACTTTTCAGAGGGGGGTGACACCAAAATGACTGAGTCATTTTGGTGTCACTCCTCCAATGGTGTCACCTGGGTGCGGGCCGCACCCCCCTTGTGAGGCCACTGCACAGAGGTACAGGTTACACCAGGGGATGTGCACAGGGGATGAGAGCAGCACTATGGCTGAGGATGGATTGGAAGTTACACATAGGGGAACGCGCATTGCACTGGAAGTTACACTCAGGGGAGTGTGCGCTGCAAAGGGGCTACGGATACACTGAGAGATGTGCACTGGGGAACATGTGTAGCACAAGGGCTATGGATACACAGGGATGTGTACTGGGGAACATGCGTAGCAAACAGGTCACAGATACCCTGGGAGATGTGCACAAGGGAAGGTGCATAGCACTAGTAGGTGCACTTAGGGGGGTACACTAGGAGATGTGAACTGGGAGACGTGGAATGTGCGTTGCACTGATAGATGCACCCAGGGGAATACACTGGGAGATGTGCACAGGGGAACATGCGTAGCTCAGGGGCTGCGGACACACTGGGAGGTGTGCACCGGGGAATATGCGTAGCACAGGAAGTTACACACAGGTGAAGACAGGTAACGAAACACAGGGAAAGGGGTGCGAGATATACAGGAACAGGAACACTGGGAACAGAATCACAAACAACACAGCTGAGCAAACTCACAATGCAGACAGGTAAATGCAAGGAAGGGATACCAACAGTTCTCACAGGGACTCACTGGGAACTAGAGCAAACAGGGACACAAGGAACAGCAGAGAGGGAAATAACCAAACTGGGAGATCACAAGGGACTAGAGCTGCATCTAACGATTATTTTCAAAATCGATTATGTCGATTAGTTGTTGCAGCCCTACAAGGGACACACCAGGAAACCAGGAAGCAGAAGGATCCAGGGAAGCATGAGGACACTGGGAATCACGGAGGGTCCGGCACCAGGGAACAGACATGTTGCTCGAACTCAAAGCAACAAGTGAGGGAATCCAAAATAGTAGAGGAAGTGTGAAGATTGGCTGAACCCTGTGAAACACCATAGGCTGACAGCCAAGCACCTGGGACCAAGGGGAAAACCAGGCACGGACGCAGGACATTGTGACAAAAGTTATCATTTTATGATTCGAAGTAGCTAGTCCTTTGTACAATAACCGTAAATACTTTTTTCCTTGTGTCTCACCTTCCTCATTACCTGACAAGCCCTGTTGTCTACCACAATATATGAATGCTCATTTGTTTGCTTTGTTAGGTACAAACTGATTTTTTGTTTCAGCGTACAGAAGAAAAAAAAACAGGAAATCCGAAATTAAAAAAAAGAGAAGTGTTATTACAAATCAATAATATCCACTCAGAGTAAAAAAATAACCACTTCAAATATTACACAAAAAAAGAAAAAGGAAACTTAAAAAGGAACTAAAAGATTTTGAATGTTTTAGATACATATGAAAAATCAGCCATGGAGAGGAGTGGCAAAGGGGAAGTGACAAGCGGGCTGCTTTCAAGTGTACGGCCGCCCAAGCTCACTTGTACAAAATGGCCTGAAGCAAGGCCTAAATGTAGAAAAAAAAAACACCTGCCCCGCCCCCAGACATGCAGTTCCAGGCGTCGAGCGATAGGAACTCCACACACCCCTACCTCTACTAAGATGGCAGCCCCCACACAGACATACAGTGCAGAACAAGGCATGGTAAGATAGTAATATGGGAAAGATGAGCTGCAGGGAGATCACAGACAACACTGGGGATTAGTCCTCTGCCTTTTGTGGGCACAGCTTCTACAGTACAGGTCCTATTTAATGCTGCCCCAATAATACAGTTTGGACTCCTCACAATTTCCGTGCTTTGCTGTCAGAATGTTTGTTATTAAAGGAGAACTATGGGGTCAGGGGTTTTTCCCATAGTTCTCCTTAGGGTAATGGGAGGACACAAACTAGCGTCCTCCTGTCACCCTAAGCTCAGTATACCGCGAGCTACAGCTCCCTATATACTGAGACGCTGCAGCCGGAGCGGATCCCGACATCGATGTCGAGATCCGCCCAGCTGTGTGAGTGACAGCTGTCTCTGCCTATCTAGAGGCAGAGCCAGCTGTACCTGCCCCCTCCACCGTCCGTTCCGCCAGTCAGCCCCTCCCCCGTCACAGCAGAGAGGCGTGACAGGATCGAGAAGTGAGCGGAAACCGGCATGTGTTCGCTCACCTCCCGATCTACTGAGCCGACCTGTGACAGTCTCATTGTCACAGGTCGGCTAGAACTATGAGGTGAGTGAAAAGCCCCTCCCCCTCATAGTTCTCCTTTAATGCAAATCATATTTATTTCTTAGAAATTGAATTTAATGGAACTGTTTCCTAGATTCTGGACATTTTTTGCAGCAATCATAAGAATAATGTATACTATAAGTCAATTTAGGAATGACTGATACTCACTGGTGCAATAAAGCCTCTAATCTTTTATTTTTTTATTTCCTTAGTGAAATTCTGCCAAAACCGATAACACTTTATAAACAAAAAGTCATAATTATATTAAATAATACAGACACATGACTCGTGAAATACAAATTCATGATTTACTGCGATACCTTGTATCAAATCCTTAGCCTCCTGTGAGACATTCTTCCAGCTGTCTCCTTCAAACGAGAAGTCTCCCTGCTTTATCTTCTTCATGATGTCCTCCGCTGTGGCGTACGTTACCGTTCTGTCGTGACACTGGAAAGGTACCTGACCCGACAGCATTGTGTACTATAACAAAGAAGACAGTAAAAGGTAAGAAACAACAAAGAAAGCAAGCATGGGAAAGTGGCAGAGCCGGCCCCCGGCATTCATACGATGGTTGTATGTTATGATTATTATACAGGATTTATGTCGCGACAACAGTTTGCGCAGTGCTTTACAATATAAGGAAGACATTACAATTACAATACAATTCAAGACAAGATGGTGAGGGCCCTGCCCCTGAGGGCTTACAATCTAAAAGGGGAGGGGCCAGTGATACATGAGGAGGGAGCTGTGTGGGGATGAATTGTCTGAGAACGTGATGGTTGAGGTGGGATAGGCTTCCCTGAAGAGATGAGTCTTTAGGGATCACCTATAGGCAGTCAGAGTGAGAGATAGACGGACAGGTTGGGGTAAAGAGTTCCAAAGAATGGGGGGAAGACTCTAGTGAAGTCCTGGAGGCGAGCATGGGAGGAGTTGACAAGGGAGCTGGAAAGCAGGAGATCTTGGGAGGAGAGTAGGGGACGGTTAGGGTAATACTTTGAGACTAGCGATGGGCTCAGGCGTGTTCGCAGCTCCACGCGCCGAGCCCGCCAGGAAGCTGACAGCACCAAACACATTATCCCGGTCCGCAGCTGCAGAATTTTATCCTTTGGGCGATTGAAAACCAGTGCAGGGATTGACAGAGAGGGGGTTGCAGATATGTTGAGATATTTGGCAGTAATGAATGTGAGTTTTCGATTCATACTCACTAAAATGACCCCAAGACTCCACAGGTCACATGACTCGTCGTAGCCATTAGCATTCAGGAGTTCCGGCGCGGCGTAATGCAGCGTAAAGCAAGGCGTTTTCAGAGGCTGGTTATCCGGAGGCTTCAACCTCGCAAAACCGAAATCTATAATTTTTATCTCACAACTGTCGCTTTCGTCTGTGAAAAGAAAATTCTGAGGAACAAAAAGAAAACAAAATGACAACATATCCACTGCCTTTCTGAGCAGGGAAGTCTTCGGATTTAAAGGATATGACAGTGATTTTGGCACATTATATGGGGAGACAGAACAGGAAGAGCAAAGAAATCTTTCTTAAAGGAGAAAGCATTATTTTCTTTAAAACAGTACGGAAGGGTTAGAAGCTCTGTCGGATTTCTGCTGCTGTCTGTGTCCCTTTGGGAAGGGATTTCCCTCCAATTTCTGTCTCAGTGGTGGGTGCCAGACAATAGGAAGTGAGATAAAATCTCCCCAAAGGTGACACATACAGCTTCACAACCTTAGAGTTAGGGGTTCTAGGCCTCTTTGTTTCACCTCTAGACGTACCTCTGGTTTTAGGTCCCTATGAACAACTCCGACATCATGCATATGACTGACTGCGGACACCAGTTTCCGCATGATGTAACTGGCTTCTGACTCGCTGAATGATTTCTTCTTTTTGATGCGTTCAAACAGTTCCCCCCCTTTCAGTAACTCCATGACTAGGAAAGTATGAAGCTGAAAAAAACCCAAAAACAAACCATTTAGCACCATCTTAAAGTGGACACGACAGCCCTCTATGTTCCCTAATCGTTGGCTGCTAATGCCTGCTTTATTACATTCTAAAGATCTTGAATGTGGCAGCAGAACCTAATTGTTTCTGAATTCCTGTGTCCCTCCACAGACAATGAAGAAATAAAAACTTTGTTTTTTGGCAAATAATATACTTCTTTTTTTTTTTTTACCCATAAAACACAAAGTAGCAAGCAATACAATCTATATGGCTGCAGTAAAGTAAAAGCTGAAAATACATAAAACATACAGAGTACTGAATACATTTAGTCAGCCACAATGCTATATATAAGCATTCAAGCGAATGTATAAGAATAGCGAGGAGTAATGTGCCCATTGCAGTGAGCACATCATCTGTTTTCAGTCAGGTGAATTTTGACTGGTTGTTAAGTAAAGACAAAGATGGCACTGAAAATTAAATCACCTTGAATGCCTGAGAAACCTATCCCCATACCCCTTACCTGGGAAAACTAGTAAGGAGCCAGGAAACAAGATGTATGGGGGTTTTACCAACCTGGTCATGGTAAACATCGTGCAGTTTTACTATATTGGGATGGCCTTCACAAAGCCTCATTGCTGCAATTTCCTTCTGTGTGTTGCTTTCCATACTATAAAAAAAAAAAATACAAATACAAAATAATAAAAAAAAAATACAAAAGTAAAAAAAGACTAAACAGGATGTTGCTACACTTGTTTTATTTTGTCCATCTTCCTTTTAAAAAATGATATACAACTCCACCAGCTAGGTACCAAGTCTCTTCATGAATCTCAATCTTTTGTTGGTGCAATATTGCTTTTTTATTACATTAGGTTTTATTTACATGGGAAAATCCATAAGTGCAAACTCAGTACTAATTTGTTTCTAAATACACAGCAAAAAAATAGTTAAAAGAAGGAACAAGGTTTGGAATATGCTGAATTAAACATTAAAGGAGAACTATGGGGTCAGGGCTTTTCCCCATAGTCCTCCTTAGGGTAACGGGAGGACACAAACTAGCATCTTCCCGTCACCCTAGGCTCAGTATATAGGGAGCTACAGCTCTAAGCTTCTAGGGTAGCACAGACTGACAGAAATGTTTCAGTGTTTTCCCCAGCAATTCTGTAAAATGTATAAAAGTTATATAAAAGAATGATAACGATCAGTACAACTGTCATGGGAACATTAGAGTGTCAGCTCCTCTAGCGCAGAGGCTGATGTGAATTATTTTAATGGTACAACTAGGTCATTGCTATATAAATTTAAAAATCTATCCGGTTTATACTCTGCACCAGAAGACCAGCTGAATATTATTATATCTGCTTTAATTTCCTGTATTTTACAATCTCTGCAAAAAAAAAATAAGAGCGACAGCATATTCACAATCTTTGATAAATTTCCAGAGAGGCTCTTTATCCAAAAGCAGGCTCCCCTGTTGGTGCCAGTTGCATGAACTCGCTGAGAAGAGCCCAGCTTGGCAGGCGCGCAGTGTAGAAATGCATACACCAGTCAGGCCCGAGGATCACTCAGAGGCCTTGAACTCGGAAAGCTCCCTCGCCCCGGCCACGTACCGTCTGCTGATTATTTTCACGGCGTACTCCTGATTGGATTTTTTGTGCAGGCATTTCCGACAGATGGAAAAACTGCCCTCGCCCAGCGGCTTCTCCTTCAGATCAAGCTCGTAGTGCTGATAAAAAGGGGAGTCCTGCCAGAAAATGTAAGGCATGCAGATGAAAAGTAAGCGCTTTACATGGAAAAAATGCTGAAATGTTTACTTCAAATTTTGAGCAGAGACATGCTGCGTGAGCAAAGTTTATTAACCTTCTGCAGAGTCCACAGAGGAGAGGAAACACATGGAAACGGCATCGTGAAAAGCATAGGAAATGGAGGCACTAGAAGTCCCACCACAACCTGCCAAGCCTCTGGACCCTCCAGCAACCACATCATACATGACATTCGTTTATCCCTCTCAGCTGCTCACATTTTGCATGCCAAGCACCTGAAACATTTGTTTTTACCATTTTACAAGCACCGATGTTACACACATTGCAGACTTTTGAAGTTGAAGAACCCCCAACCCATATCTTTTCCTGGCAGCAAATAATGTACAGAATTAAAAAGGTAGAATATGTGATTCTATTCAGGGCAAGGTGACAGGTGCTCTTGAAATAATCACATGCACAACCTGATACTAACCTCCACTTCGTTCCCCTGTCACTCAGTTGTTCCATCCCTGCCCTCAGGACATACAAGGGTGTAAAGGAGCTTACAATCTACTCCCCTTCCTGCCAGAATGCAGAGCTTTGTCCTAAGCAGCCAATGGCCAGGCCCAAACACTGTCATGTGACGTACAGGTGGAATTAAGTGAGTCAACCAACTCGGATCTTACACAGGGTTTGCACACCTGGTTTCAACCAGGGTGGAGGGCTGTTCTTTCATGAGAACCTGTCACTTTGCCCTAAATGAGCCAAGTGACAGAGTGTCTTTAAAAAATGACACTTTCAAGAAAAAATACACTTAGATCATCACAAATGCACACACAGCATGAACCTCAAAACTCCTATTAAAGCCCATTTTCACCTTTTCAGAGGTAATGTTAAAAAACATACGCCAGCAATGTACACCAAGAGTACATTTAGCAGGCATATGCAATTGCTGTATATGAACACAGAAACTTACTTTTTTGTTAGCTGTACTCTTAATCTCCTCATGGTTCCTTTTAAAAATGGCCGCCTCTGTGCTCTGCAGGCAGTCTGTGTAAATGACAGGCTGCTGTGCACGGTGGGAACCACAATGTAGGGCATGGAAAACTACATTTCCCACAATGCTATGCTTTCCTCATGCATGAGCTTCTGGAATCTGAGCTCTCCACCCATTGATTAATATTCATAGCGGCAAAGCCCCCCTGGACATAGACTAGAGGAAGTCCTTAGCTGCTTTACAGCCAGAACAAGGCAATCCGACCCCCAGTGTCAGACTGAGTTTTATATTTGTAATCTACATCTGGAGTATGCGGTCCAGTTCTGGTCACCAGTACTAAGAAAAGATGTCCTTGGGTTGGAAAAAGTCCAGCGGAGGGCAACCAAACTAATTAGGGGTATGGAGGACCAGAGCTACGAGACGAGGCTACTAAATTTAAACATGTTCACATTGGAGGTGAGGAGATTAAGGGGGGATATGATCTCCATGTACAAAATGTTCAATGGTGACAGCAACATTAGCGATAAACTGTTTAAAATTAACTCCATTACAAAAACTAGAGGCCACCACCTAAAATTGGTGGAAAAAAAATTCCAGCACAAGGGGCGAAGGGGGTTCTTCACAGTAAGATCAGTTAGGGTCTGGAACTCACTGCCACAGACAGTGATTTCAGCAAAGAATGTGGAATTGTTCAAGAAACTTTTGGACGATTTCTTAAGGGACCGTAATATACGGGGGTACAGGTACTCCTAGAATGAGATCCTAATAGGTTGGACTTGATGGACTAATGTCTTTATTCAACCTCAAATACTATGTAACTATGTACTGTAGGCCTACTGAAAAGTCCATAAAAGTAAAGACGCCAGCAATGTGAGTCATGAAAATGTACACACGTATATCATCACTGCACCTGTACATTACCACAATATATACAAATCATTTACAAAGGTGGAAATGGGCTTTAACGTTAAAAGCTGACTCAATGCTGAGTAATACATCGAGACCCAATATAGTCCCATAAATAGTACCTTCATCATGGCGCTTCTTGCTATGTTTGTGACGCCAGGACGCTCCGTTCCAAAGTGAAACTGGATAGGATCTGTGATGGCGGCATTGGGCTTGAACAAGATGGATGGAGCGACAAAAGAATATCCCTGAAAAATAAACCTGTTATTACTTTACCTTATACAGTGATAACATGGACTATAATTACAGCACACAGCGTTTGATCAATATAACTATGTTCCTTATTTTTTCTTCCTTTGCCCTCTGTCACCGTTCCTGCTCATTTTCTTTCTTATTTTGGTTGGGAGTGTGTCTCAATAAACATGAGACCAGCTGTTACTCTCTGGATCGCACAGATGCTCGATTGGATTGCGATCTGGAGAATTTGGGGGGTCAAGTAAACACCGCAAATTCATTGTGTTCCTTGAACCATTTGTTGTAGTGTGGCAGGGAGCATTATCCTGCTGAAAAATGCCACTGCCATCGGGGAATATCATCTCCATGAACGATGTAAAAGAAAATGTCATTCATCAGACCAGGCCACCTTCTTCCATTGCTCCGTGGTCCAGTTCTGATGCTCACATACCCATTTTAGGTGCTTTTGGTGGTGGACACGGGTCAGCATGGGCACCCTGACCTGCCTGCGATCACTCGGCCCCATACCCAAGAAACTGCGATGCTCTGCGTGTTCGGACACCTTTCTATCAGAACCAGCATTAACGCTGTCAACAATTTGAGCTACAGTATCTCTTCTATTGGTTAGGACTACACGGGCCAGACTTCCCTCCCCACGTACATCAATGAGCCTTGGCTGCCCATGACCTAGTCGCTGGTTTTCCTTCCTTGGACCACTTTTGGTCGGTCCTGACCACTGCAGACCGGGAACATCCCACAAGAGTTGCAGTTTTGGAGTTGCTCTGACCCAGTCATCTAGACATCGCAATTTGGTCCTTGTCAAAGTCTCTCAAATCCTCACACTTGTCAATTATTTCTGCCTCTGTAATATATCCCCCCCACTTCCAGGTGCCATTGTAACCAGATAATCAATGTTATTCACTTCACCTCTCAGTGTCATCATGTCATGGCTGATTGGTGTTTATATATTTATATATACTATTAACTATCAGTGGGTGAGGAAGGGGTGATGTTGGTGGACAGAAGAAGTATTTAAATCAAGAAGTATTTAAATCAAAGTACTAGGCACCATGCATAGAACCTGTGCAGCAAACAGCGAGCGGGTGAATAGGTGTTGGACTCCATAGGGAAATCAGTGAAAAGTCAAATGACACAACTCAGTTTTTCACCATTTGAAATGGCAAATGTCAAGTGAACCGACGAGACTGGTGTAGGTGAATAAAAAAACTGGCTGCATTATACACAAGGCAAATGTTACAGGAGTCCCGGATTTCCCTATGAAGAATGAGATTTGTAGATGCCAGAAGAAATTCAGTTATTGTAGTCCAATAAGTTGAGCATTTTTTTCTGTTTATGTTCTTTATAAATACAACAAACCTTTCCCCAGGAAACCAACCGTGTGTTAGAAATAACCCCTTTAATGTCTAAAGGTGAACCACAGAAGGCGAGGCAGGTGAGGCTTTCACAACTGCAGGAAGAGACTATTTACATTCTGCGGTTATATTCCTGGTTTGTGACATCTGATGATCCACTTCTCTTACACACGCTGACACTAATGGCTGTAACTCAGCAAACTGGATAATCCGATGACCAGCAATTGAGCTTCTGATGGAGAAATGGAAAGGAGGCGCCTCCCCTGAGCATGTTACCCTGTCAACAAGATGATAAAAGTGCTAATAAACATGTCAGAGGACAGATTCACAATGGCACCACCAAGTCCATAATTCACCTTGTAGGCGGCTGTTGAGCCAAAATGAGAAATGGACAGAAAGTTGTTTTATGTTGACAAACAAGTTCCTCTTCATTGGGTACAACAGGCCTCTTCCTATCTGATGTGCCAGCCAAGAGCTAAATATGCAGGTATATTAGGAAAATAAATGTGGTTATGAGCCATAAGTTGTCATAGACCAAAAAAAGTCAGTGAACATCATGTGAAAAGTTTAAATAACAATGATGTTTTATTTCTTTTGCTGTGTTATATTAATCCGTCCCATTCCCTTCTGTTTGTGATCTGGTGATCCTGGAACACATCTGCTGGTGATGCTAAAACACCCTTATTGCTCTCACACAGACTGATATACACTATATTGCCAAAAGTATTGGGACAGCCCTCCATATCATGTGATTCAGGTGTTCCAATCCGCTCCATGGCCCCCGGTGTATAGGAGGAGGCACCTCGGCATGCAGACGCTTCTACAGACATTGGTGAGAGAACGGGTCGCTCTCAGGAGCTCAGTGACTACAAGCGTGGTACCGTGATAGGTTGTCACCTTTCACATTTCCATGCTACTAAATATTGCGCGGTCACCTGTTACTGGGATTATAACAAAGTGGAAGCAACTGGAACAACAGCAACTCAGCCAGGAAGTGGTCGGCCACGTAACATGACAGAGCGGGGTCAGCGCACGCTGTAAAAAAAGATCCAAGCTGAGCTGCTTATTTAGCGTGGAAGTAAATATTTCCCCAGGCATTGCCACGGTCTGTATACAAATAATCTGCAGGCAGAAAGGATTAGCCTGATGAAACCTTGTTATCTTCTTTATGATGAAACCAGCAGAAGCCTGGATGTAAACACAGAACAGTTGCAGTATACAGCTTGAGGGTCAACGTGGATGCGGAGAAAACAGTGTAGTCGTTACACGTGAAAACGTGACATAGACAGTACAAATGAAGGGGATAAAAATACGTTGCAGCTGTTGCTGCGCTTGTAAAAAACATTCGGATGTCTCGGGAGGTGCCAAAAGCTGCTCAATACATAGGAGCGCAATGTCCTCTGCTTTGCTTACTTATGCAAAAGGATTCTGGGTAAAGGAATGGAAATGCGAGCATCCGCAGTGCAATGCAGTTAAACTATTGGGCCAAATGTGCTCTCAACATGGCCACTGAAGAAAGCTGAACTACTACTTGACTTGGTTGTGTGAAAATCTGCCCCCTGACCTTAAAGGTCCAGCTCCCCCACAGAACTGACATTTAGGCCTTGTTCACACCAAGCACAGAGCAGATCCAGACCAGAGCAGGTGCAGAGCGGATCAAAACTGCGTCCAATGTATTCCTATGGTATTTTGACCTCCAGTTCACATCGCAGCGTGCGGATCCAGACCAGATCCAGATCCGGTGAAAAAACTGCGGAAAGCCCTATTTTACCTGCTCTGGATCTGGTCTGGAACGCAAAAAAAACCAAAAACGCATCAAAAACAGGTCAAAAACGCATCGTGCGTGTGCAGAAACCTGACCGGATCTGGTCTGCATTTGGTGTGAACAAGGCCTTATGGGTAGTCTCCAGGGGAGCAGGACACTATCATTTGGATTTATTATGGCAGATCTGAGGGCAGAGCTGAAGATTTTGGTTCAGTCTTACCATTATAAGCCTGCAGGTGATTCAAATCCCCATAAACCACACAAAACTGTTTTGGGTGGAGGGGACCTTTAAGTCGGCTACAGGTTGGGGGTGTGAGTGCACTCTGACTGCCAGAGGTCTTCCCCAGCTACGGTCAGAGACGTATACACTCGCAGCATGTATACAAATATATTTATATGTGCCTAGACTGCACCGGTCTGACTTCTGGAGAACAGACATGAAAATGCAACACTGCCGATCCATTATCATCCCAATATCCATCTGCTGCTATCGGGGTGTATGAGCTGGTCTTAAGGTTCCCTTACACCTTGCGACCATCGCAAGAACTTTATCTTGCGATGGCTGTAAGCTCATTGAAAGCTCGTACGATCTGCCCATCTTGTAGAAACGGTCGCACACCTTCCATACACTGTACGATTCTCGTACGATCGTGGGATTTCCCGCGATTCTTGTACGAGAATCGTACAGTGTATGGGCACCTTAAAGCCCGCTACAAACAAGATAAGCTGATTGGGGTAATGATCACCCCAAATATATCTAAATAGATGCAATACCAGATGGAAGACCCAGGGTAACAAGCTCAAAGTGCGAATGGATAGTTCATCCAATATTGTAGAATAAGAGGTATCTGCCCTTTCGACATGCTCCACAGGGGAGTGGAATTACCTGTTAATGCGATGGAGAAAAAAGCTTCCTTCATTTTTCCCATTGCTTCTACACGATCATTAAAGGAAAGTCTCTACTATGCAACATTTTTGATCAGAATGGCCACTTGCTTTCCGACTAGCTTTTCCCTTTGATGCCTTTCACTTTGTAAAGTGTTTAATAGTAGAATCTCCCCATGAGTGGGAGGAGCTAAGCAGAATGTGAGTGGCCAGTCTGATCAATAAAGTTGCTTAAAGGCACATATCAGTAAAAGAGAATGGTATGCGGCTGCTTTCTCACTGGATGACGCATAGTAAGCTAGTTTGGAAGATACTAAGTATCAAAGCCCCTGTAAATAAATAAAAAATAACCCCTTAGTACAAAGCCACATGAGTGAAATTTTGGCCACATGGCTTTCTTCATAACCAAAGTGACATGATCGGGATCACGGTCACATGGCTTTCTTCCTAAACAAAGCCACATGATCGGGATCACGGTCACATGGCTTTCTTCCTAAACAAAGCCACATGATCGGGATCACGGTCACATGGCTTTCTTCCTAAACAAAGCCACATGATCGGGATCACGGTCACATGGCTTTCTTCCTAAACAAAGCCACATGATCGGGATCACGGTCACATGGCTTTCTTCCTAAACAAAGCCACATGATCGGGATCACGGTCACATGGCTTTCTTCCTAAACAAAGCCACATGATCGGGATCACGGTCACATGGCTTTCTTCCTAAACAAAGCCACATGATCGGGATCACGGTCACATGGCTTTCTTCCTAAACAAAGCCACATGATCGGGATCACGGTCACATGGCT